TACACAAATTGAATGAAAATTGTGAATGCAGTAACCAAATGTTTCATTGCAACCGAAGGTGTGACACAATGAGAACGCGAAAAATGACCCCGTTTTTTATCGTTTCATGTGATTTTTTCATATTATTTTTGCTTCTATTACGATAAAATTTATTTTGTATGTAGCTAAATAGATATTTTATCATCTGAATTCAAAGTTATTGTTCTAAATTATACCGTTTAAGAACTATTATTGTGTGACCATCAAATTTGAGTGTAAATGAGAAGTACCCTACTGCATCTTCATTTCTACCATATAAAATCAATATTTTATTCAGTACCTACGCTTATACACTTTGTCCCAAATAGGTATAGCATGCCCTACTACCCCCACTTCAGGACATGTAGCACAGTATCATAATTCTGTTGACAAACAAAATTTCACGCGGGTAAAACCGCGGGCAAAAGCTAGTACATTACATACATACATTTGCTCATACATTTTCAAGGTCCACTACTATGTCGATCTTGAATAAACAAGTGTTCGCGACGAAAAGTAGGTACCTAACTAAGTATTTGACTTGTTAATTTTACGCAAATAAAATTCTGATTCTGATAATACATATTTGCAAATCATCCTACTAAATATTAATAAGTACTAAGGATCATCATCCTTTCCATCCATCCTTTTTTAATTCTATGCATGCACTCTGTATTGGCACGTTTAGTAATGTATTCCCAAAATATGTAGGTATACATAGATTTCTAGTTTGGGAATTAATGTAGACATCTTTTAATGTCTTTTTACCTACCACTTATTTACTGTAGATATTAATTAGAATAAGACCTAACACGAGAATTAAATGGAACAATAAACGTTTTATTTATATATTTATTTATTAGTACGAGTATATTATCACCATAACCAGACACCTATTAGACAGCTCTATCATTACTTAGTTTTATCATTCACTAGCTTTCCGCCCGCGGCTTCGCCCGCGTGGAATTTTGTCTGTCACAGAAAAACTTTATCGCGCGCGTCCCTGTTTCAAAAACCGGGATAAAAACTATCCTATGTTCTTTCCCGGGACTCAAACTATCTCTATGCCAAATTTCATCAAAATCGGTTGCGAGCCCTAAGCGGGAAAGCGTAACAGACAGACAGACAGACAGACAGAAGCGGACGTATCCAAAGGAGACGATGCCAAACTGATCATCTCTAAGACCCTGGAGACATTCGGCAAAATCGACGTCCTAGTCAACAACGCCGGGATTGCCAGAGTAGGCAGTCTGTTAGCAGGCGATCTGATGAACTCGTATGACGAGGTGATGAATACGAATCTGCGAGCGGTGTTCCACCTGACGTGCTTAGCGACCCCTCATTTGGTCAAGACGAAGGGGAACGTTGTGAACATATCTTCAGTGGCGGGGTCCTCAACGCCTCCGCCTTCGTTGGTGACGTACGCCGTGTCGAAGGCAGCTTTGGACCAGTTCACCAGGGGAGCAGCGTCGGAGCTGGCGCCGGCTGGCGTCCGGGTCAACGTCGTCAGTCCTGGCCCGGTCGTGACGGACATCATCGAGAATAGCGGCATGACGACGAGCTCGTATGACGAATGGGGCACCAGGACCGCGCTGGGCCGCTCGTCCGATCCGGCTGAAATGGCGGACCTCGTGCTGTACTTAGCCAGTGATAAAGCTAAATGCATCACCGGTGCTAATGTTGTAGCAGATAACGGCTATTTGGTGAAGTCACAATAGAGTTGTGCAATTAAGAATGTGTAGTTTTATTATAGGTTCGTTCCTTCGTTCGTTTATGCGAAATATCCATCCGCTAACCTATTATTTGCTATGATATTTTTTTTGTCTTCCTTGTTTAAATTATGAGGAAATTGACAATCAGCGCTCAATTTAATAAACTATAACACCACGTCCACCTAGACCAAGTCGACCAAGGATGTAACTACTTATAGCTAAACATCGTATTTGACCTGATTTGACAGAGGGGACCTCCTTTCTTCATAAAGTCAGACATATGGTAAAGAGGTGCTAAGATATAAAACAACCTGCGAGAGCTACCTAAGTAAGTAGGTAAACCACTTTTTCACAAAGAAATACTCGGAAGGAGATGTAAGTACTCGTACCTAGCTACCTACTATTGCAGTCTTTGACAGCTATTCCTCATTAACCACAAGCATGAAAGTAGCAGAGCGTCAAAGGTGCTACCGACTCCGCAGACCGCAAGGTGCCGCAAGTCTGTTGACAATCCAGACACGCGGTAACGTGTTCAGCCAAGTTCAAGTAATATTATGTTACACGGACCACTTTTGACCCCCTTATAACTCAAAAACTATTTCACATAAACGTGTCTTTGGCTCATATATTAAAACATCGTCGGTCCACCTAGTATGAGGCCTGCCCATGCTATGTCTTCCGACCCGTGGTCACCACTCGAGAACTTTCTGCCCCAACGGTCATCGTCTCTGCGAGCGAAGTACTTATGTGTCCCTTCCTGCCCACTGCCACTTGATTTTTCAAATCTGCGAGCTATGTCAGTCACTGGTTCTCCCGCGGATCTCCTCATCTCTTGATTCGATAACGCAGGGAAACGCCGAGCATAGCCCGTTCCATCGCTCTTTGAGTGACCTTGCGCCGGTAAGCGACCACGTTTCAGATCCATAAACCATCACTGGCAAGTGACAACACTTGGCTGCTGGTATAAACTACCAATAGAACATAATAATTCGTATATTATGAGAACTAGCCAACTCAGACCTATTAGTGCATTATACAGGGTGTGGTTTTTTAAAACAACGCCCATCTCAGGGATCCTAAGTTTTAAGAAGAGGGTCATTCCATGACAAATGTTACCGAGGCTGAAAAACTAAATATGTACTTTTCGCATTAAATCTGATGAATTTTGAAAGTAAACATTCCAAATTATAATGTGCAATAAAAAAAATCTGAAAGAAACAAGTAATTTTTAAGTTATTAATCTTCAAAGTCTATACTTAAGTCAACTGTCTGAATGATCATTTTCTCTCTAATTATTAGTAATTCGATTTAAAAAAAACTATCAATCTGTGAACCGTTTTGCCACTATATGATTTGAGGGTATTTATTAGAGATGAAACGGATATCCGGTAACTATCCGGTAGGCCGGATATCCGGCCTAAATTTACTATCCGGCCGGATACCGGATAGTAACTCACTATCCGGCCGGATACCGGATATTAAAAAACTACGACAATTTCCTATTAATAAAATGAAATACATTAATCTTTGAGGTAAATATAAATAAAATGGCTTATAATAATGACGGCTTTTGTTTAAAGTCCAAAAAGGTACAAAAAATCATATTAAGGCCTTTCAAAAAACTAATTTCTTTTTCTGAGCTATTCACTCTAATGACAAATATATAAATAGTAAATATCTGTTAATGTCGAAATATTGCCAAATAAAATAGGCGATATTTTTTTACCCGACTACGGCAAAGCGAAAGGAGGGTTATGATTTTGACAGGCTATGTATGTGTATGTATGTTTGTTCATCTGTTCCCTCGTAACTTCTAAACTACCTATCAGAATTCGACAAATTACTATAAACTTTATATTTTATATTTATTTATTAACATATTATTAGAAGCGTCTTAATTGTCCGCTCTTTATAGGCTATATGGGGTTTCACAAAATCTAATGTGGCGCCCTCTAGCGGACAAAACATACAGAGAAAAAAAATAAGGTTAAGATAAATATGCCGTGTTTGGTATCATTTGAAAGCGCTAGTAAAGAGCCATAATATATATTTCTAGCATTTGCTTGTGACTTTACCTGTATTCATGGACTGATTGCATATAATTCACATCTTTTCGTTCATAGCGTCTTTACTACTTATTAGTTCATCGATTTAACTTTTGTTAATATTATGCGCCACAAATACACTTTAACACCAAAATAGTACAAATAATAAATAAAAAGTAAAAAAAAACTAAAACCCAACTAACTACGACGAAGCTACGACAAAAAACGACGCTGAAAAAGTATAAAACAAGATTTTCAGAATACTGAACTGAACAAACTTGCTAATGTAGTTGCATAGTAATTTTCATGTTTGAAAAGGCGTAGTCACACGTTACATATTATACCTAGAGATGGGTAGTGGGTAAAAAACTGGGTGATTTGGGTAAAAACCCGGTTTTTACCCATTATCACCCATTCTGGTGGGTGAAAACAAAAATAGCGTTTTTTTAAAGTGAGAAGTGGTATTTGTTGCTAAGGGGGCGTTCTAGTGTTACGTAATGCAATCTGAGGGGAGGGGAGGTCTTGAAAAACGTTACAATGCGTTACAGTGGCGGAAGGGCGGTTCGATTTCAAGTTTTTAAGCAGAAGTACTTTGTAGTTGGTGTTGTTATTTGTAACTTTATACCGTAATGTCATCAAAGAGAGAGTTTGGCATCTTTGCCCCCCCCCCCTATCTATCATTTACCGTCATCCGCAGACCAACCCCCCCCCCCTAATTTAGAATGACGTAATATATGGACGGCCCCAAAGTCAAAATCAAGTTTCTTTATTTTTTATAGACTAAGTATAGAATATTTTTTAAACAATGGTTACAAATCGTCAAAAATTTAAAGAAAACAAAAGACTAATTAAAAAACTTAAGTTATGCCAGTTATGCTCTTAGACAGCGACGATCTTGTGGTGCCTGGATGCGGGCGGCGCATGACCGATCGTCGTGGAAATCCCTGGGGGAGGCCTTTGTACAGCAGTGGACGTCAATTGGCTGAAACGAACGAATATTTAAAACTTACGCTGCTGTACCTATGCTGCTAAAGAAAGGCAAATAATATAACACCAGTTTGAGAACTCGTGCCTTGCTCAATCAAAACAGGTCTCTTGCATGACATATATATTTTATCGTCTCGAGCGTAATCGCAGTATTCGTTGACTCGTGGGCGGAAACACACACAATGAGTTTCTCCGGCAAAGTGGTGATAGTGACTGGCGCGAGCTCCGGCATCGGCGCCGCCACGGCCGTCGCCTTCGGCAGGGAGGGCGCCTCCGTGGTCCTCGTCGGCAGAAACGATACCAAACTGAAGAAAGTCGCCGAATCAGTAAAGAAACATTTAATCGTCAGAGCAGACGTATCCAAAGGAGACGATGCCAAACTGATCATCTCTAAGACCCTGGAGACATTCGGCAAAATCGACGTCCTAGTCAACAACGCCGGGATTGCCAGAGTAGGCGGTCTGTTAGCAGGCGATCTGATGAACTCGTATGACGAGGTGATGAATACGAATCTGCGAGCGGTGTTCCACCTGACGTGCTTAGCGACCCCTCATTTGGTCAAGACGAAGGGGAACGTTGTGAACATATCTTCAGTGGCGGGGTGCTCGACACCTCCGCCTATGTTTGTGACGTACGCCGCGTCGAAGGCAGCTTTGGACCAGTTCACCAGGGGAGCAGCGTTGGAGCTGGCACCGTCTGGTGTGCGGGTCAACGGCGTCAGCCCGGGCCCGGTGGTGACGGACATCATCGAGAACAGCGGCATGCCCACCTCCTACGACGAGTGGGCCACCAAGACCGCGCTGGGCCGCTCGTCCGATTCGGTTGAAATTGCGGACCTCGTGCTGTATTTAGCCAGCGATAAAGCTAAGTGCATCACTGGTTCTAGTGTTGTAGCAGATAACGGCTATTTGTTGAAATAGGTAAAAATAGACTTGTAAAATTAAAGATGTGAAGTTTTATTATGGATATTTTTTGCACCTTGGTTAAACAATTNGGCTGAGTTGCACCATATAACTTTAACTTTGACAAACGTCAAAAATCTGTCCAATTCAATACAAAAAGCACCGGTTACTGTTATTATTACGGTTAAAATAATGTGGTGCAACTCAGACTAAGATCTTTTATTTTAGTGCGAATGCATCTGCCTGCTCGTTCGTTTTCGTTCGCTTCAGCCAAATGACGTCCACTTCTGGACAAAGGTCTCCCCCAAGGATTTCCAATACAACCCTGTCCTGCGCCGCCCGCATCCAAGCACCTCCTCCTCCAGCAACCTTCACCAGAACGTCGGTCCACCTAGTGGGGGGCCAGCTGCCCGCTCGGCTCGTAGGTAGGTACTTACTTGTATTTAGAAGTCACAGTTCTTATAAACACCTAAATTATTTATTACCTAAGAGATTTTTAAGTTTGCGTAGGTAATTAACGTAGTATCGATAGTTCGAATCAAGACAATATTATCGAAGGAATGTAACACTATAGAGTAAGTATCAATACCTAGGTAAGTATACTATCAAATTCAATAGCATCCGATACATTGTTTTTTTATTTTTCTACCTATGAAAAGATTTGTTTTAAATAGGGAATGTCTAGTAGTTAACGGTAGCATTATTTTGCATCCAAAACNAGGGAACAAGGCGCTACTCTTATTTTGTGGTGCTACAAACTGGCTTAACTATTGATTGTTTGTGTTAAAGAATAGATTTATTTATTTATTGACTCAAGGAAAATCTACAGCATATTACAAGTAGGTACCATGCTTAAATGATATTATAGCAAGTAATTCCAATTACAGGTTTTCTTTAGTTACCTAGTAAACTAAATTAATGCGAGTCTGATACAATGATCACACAATCACAATCGGATACAATGTAGGTATACCCAACAGTAGATAGATGTTGTACTACTATACATTTATTATACTATTCTATGCAAATAAATGTTTGAATTTGAAGTATTTACATTTACTTAAACTTAAATTTTAAATTGTAAACAAT